TATTTGGCCAGTAACATGCTGGAATGAAGGGCTACCAAGTTTGTTCAAATGAATGACTTTAAATCATATTCAAGGTCACTGGGGTCAAATATGTTGAAAACATTTAAACAACTTCTTCTGAATAACCAAGAGGCCTAGTATGATGGTATTTTGCCATTAACATGCTGGGATGAAGGGTTACCAAGTTTGTTCAAATGAATAACCTTCGCCAATATTCAAGGTCACCGTGGTAAATATATGTTTAAATATTTAAATGATTTGTTCTGTATAACCAAAATGTCAAGGGTAATGATAATTTGCTAGAAGCATGCTGGGTTGGAAGACTATAAATTCTGTTCACCCTAATACCCTTTTTCGACATTCAAGGTCACGGGTGTCATATGTTTAAATAATTTCATAGTTTCTTATTAATCAAACACCAATATTCTGCCTGTAGTTGTATTTCAGTCCACTTTTAAGATAACAAGTGTGAAATTAATACCAGATGAGCGATTCAGGCCCATTGGGCCTCTTGTGTGTTATAACTCATTGCACTCAACATTTATAAGACTAGTACTTATGTACCCAGTATTAATACAAAGCCCAATAATGTTCTTTAATTCAAAATCAAAGAAGTTTAAAAAAAAACTATTTCTTTGTTGTGTACAATGAAAAACCTACAGAAGAAATGATAGAGAAAATAGGGGCTTGGTTATGTCATAGCCTAGCCGGTATGTACACTAGCTGCTTGGTAACAAAATACAGAAAAAGGGGGTATTCAAATGAACAGAAACCATTTATATCACTTGAAGTAATTTAAACTTACCCGTGATATTTTCATGTCCTGTATGTCACCAGCGTCAAATTGACGAACAGCTGTGTCCATCCCCTTAAAATTCTTCACCGACACTTCCTCGTCACCGGCTGCGGCATTGTCGTGTACAGACTTCCTAGACCTTTCAACCATGAAGTTGTAGATTGCAAGGAAGGAAGGGCATGGCAATTCAGTAACTGGAATAACTGAATACCTAACCCGATTAAAAGGTGGTAAGTTTTCCGTCACCTCTACAACATTTACTGACGGAAATAAGGCAGTCAAATCAGTTTCTTGGCGAATCACAGGAGTAATGATGTCAATCGGTACAGAGCTTGTGATTACTTGCCCTATCAAGTCTTCTTTTCTTTTTCCCCTTTAATCTATTCTAACCTCTTTACATAATTTCTGTATTGAGGACTTCGACATTTTTTTCAAACTTTCGCGGGTTGCCATGATAGGTGCGTTGGATGCTTCAGACGACTTCATCGCGTAAGTAGTTATGGGCATGTCTGGAAATTAGCGTGAACTGGTTTATATAACAAGAAACAAACGCTAAAACTCACTTGATTAGGATCGGCTCCATTTCCCAACCGTAGCATGACAATCTCGGTACAATGTATGCTGTTGTTCGTAAAATATTGGTCTGTGGCAAAACATAATATCATAATATATGAGCTTCAACAACATCATTAATTACGACGAGTTATCTATTCATCACATAACTGCTCAGCAAGTACTCATTCATACACGTGCATATAAACATGCGTTATACATGGAATATCGGAATATAACAATATGATCAACGCAGTTAGAAACTCGATCATTATACAAGTTAGTGGAAGTCAAGCAAAGTCTTGAATCAGGTCTGTGGCTCTGTTAATAAAACAATTTGCAACATAAACAATGAAAATTGATTATCCTTAGTTTGTGCTGGTACTTGATTTACTTTCCTTCACATCATATCAACAGCTTATATCGTCTGAGGATATGACTCAATGTGTATAATGTATGCCCCTATGCAATTTCGTAATAGAAACAGTATACATGTACCAACAAAAGGGAAAACACTGGATCATACTGCTGTTCAATTCTTCTGTGACTCATTGGTAATGAAACATGTTTATCTCCATGTCTGAAAAACATTTGTATGCGCATTGGTAGTAAAATAAAGGCAGCTTGTAGCAATGTATAGGAGGATATATACACAGTCGAATAGAAGGGGGCAGCGTAAATCCCTTAATCGAATCAGAAATACTGCAAACTTTACATGATTATGATTATTTGTTTCTTCTTCTAACTGTGTTTTCACTGGTGTCGGTATTATCTTGCATTACTGCATATAGTAAATCAACATCAAAAACAAACAAATCCCATTGTTATTGTCGGTATACGTTACCGTTGAGAGGAACCAAAGGATTCTCCCTCGAATGACCAAAGAGGGTCGTTATAACATGTGCAGACAATGTGAAGTATCAATACATCGATTTGCCACATAAATGCTGTACTTGATGTGTTTAATAACATCATGTACCGTTGATCATATCTTAAGAATCAGTATAGCTATATCTTTATAATTTATTTAACAGAATTATATAAATAAATCAACTGTAACAGCAGGGTCTTGGCACTGTTGCCCAATACTGTTAGGGTTACTTCCCTTCATCTAGCATTTTCGTGCTGAAACAAATTCTTTCAGTTTATTTGTAAATAACAATCCTAAATTTAGTCACTATGTGGTATAAACATACCACCTATTCAATGCTTTTGACAACATTACATTCAATTGATGTTCTTGGAAAGTATATTATAGTAATTTTTCAGCCTTTCCAACTAGACCTATAACTCACAAATATGCCAGCACTGGTTACAAGATGCAAACCTATACCTAGAGTTTCAGACCACGATATAGTTCTCATAGACACTGTATGCGAATGACTTTCTTAAACGCTACCGATTAAAACATATGAATACTATCGAAAGACAGTTGCAGCAATCTTTAAATCAACTTCAGATCTGGGCTGATGAAAACGATTTCTAATTTTTAGCTCACCTGGTCCGAAAGCCTGAACGGCCAAGTAGATTTTGACTCCCAAAATCTTTTAAAATCCATCTGCTACCGTAGTGATTAAGTGGTTTTCTCCTAATTTAGTCTGGAGCATCCTTGTACCAAAGGGACACAATTTTGTATAAACGGTGGGTGTTGCCCACCTTGGGGCAGAGGGGTGGGGCCAAATAGGGGAAATAGAGGTAAAACCTTTAAAATCCTTCTTCTACCGTAGGGATTAAGGGATTTTATCCTGATTTAGTCTGGAGCATCCTTGGGCCAATGGTACTAAATTTTGTATAAACGGTGGGTGTGACCCCTGGGGGCAAAGGGTCGAGTCGAATAGAGGAAATAGAGGTAAAACCTTTAAAATCCTTCTTCTACCGTAAGAATTAAGGGGTTTATTCTAATTTAGTCTGGCGCATCCTTGGGCCAAGTGGACTCAATTTTGTATAAACGGTGGGTGTGGTCATCCTGGGGGCAGCGGGGAGGGGCCGAATAGTGGAAATAGAGTTAAAATCTTTAACATCCTTCTTCTACCATAGGGATGAAAGGATTTCATCCCAATTGGATGAAAGGATTTCATCCCAATTTCGTCTGGAGCATCCTTCGGCAAAAGGGACTAAATTTAGGATAGAAAAAAAATGGGATTGAGGGGCGGGGCCCAAGAGGGGAAATAGAGGAAATTCTTCAAAATCCTTCTTCAGTAGGAACGACAGCATTTTGTCTATATATGGTACGAAGCACCCTTTGGTGAAGGGGAACCAACATTGTATAAACGGTTGGCCAGACACACACACACATACACACACACATACACACATACTCCTTCTGTAGGAATGATGGGATTTTTTCCATATTTGATCTAAAGCATCCTTTGGTGAAGGAGACTATATTTTGTATAAATTTTGGGTCTGACCCCCTAGGGCAGATGGGCGGGGCCCAATAGTGGAAACATAGCAAATTCTTCAAAATACTTATACTTTTTCTAGGAATGACAGGATTTTGTGCAAATTTGGGACGAAGCACCTGTGGGTAAAGGGGAACCAATTTTGTATACACTGTTGGTTTTAACTCCCTGGACCAGAGAGGCGGGGAAAATAGAAAAATAGTTTTAAAATCCTTCTTCTTCTGTAGGAATGACAGGATTATGTCCATATTTGGTCTAAAGCATATCCTTGGGTGAAGGGGAACTAATTTTGTATCAACGGTGGGTTTGACCTCCCCTTGGGCAGAGGGGCGGGGCCCAATTGTGGAAACATAGCAAATTCTTCAAAATCCTCCTTTTCCTGTAGGAATGAGAGGATTTTGTTCAATTGCATATAAATACAACCCCTGACTAACCATGAGGACTTAAAATCATTTCATACTTATGGTTCGAAAGACAATCATAAAGTCGCCGCAGACATAGTTGCAATATATGCTGCTTTTCGATGCCGGTTGCCAAATGATGCATCAATATTTTCTGCAGAAGCCAACGCTATCTATCTGGCCCTTGAACACATTAAATCAAATTGTGTACCGAAGTCAATAATATATTCTGATTCTTTATCTGTTTTATAAAGCATTCGCAACAAAACTTTGAAGTTTATCTCAATAAGGAAAATATAAACACGATAACATATTATTATTACCTCAAAATGTCACATTGCATTATGCTGGGTCCCCGGACATGTGGGAATACCAGGTAATGAAAATGCAGATAGTGCCGCCAAAGCTTCCACCTGTTGATATTAAACTTCATTTTACAGATTTTAAACCGTTAATTACAAATTCTGTAAGGTCAAAGTGGCAAAATAATTGGAATCAATGCGTATACAATAAATTACACTGTGTCAAACCGAAAATCGGTTAATGGTATCCAGGCTATAGAGAAAACCGCCGAGACGAGGTTGTCCTTGCCCGTCTCCGGCTTGGTCATTTAAAAGCGAAGACCAGCCTTAATGCATAGCATGTCACAAACCATTTACAGTGAAACACTTGTTATTAGACTGCATTGACCTTCAGCTAACCAGAGAATGTTTTTTATGATAATATAACAGATCTCAATTACACGAACATATCGCATCCTCCTAAAATATACACGCATACACTACACGCAATGGCTTCCGACCAGACTCTCGCCAGATAATCATACTCATATCAATACTTGTACTTGAATCATGTTCAGCACCATTTTATTTGGCTCCTGTGTCATTCCGTGATGTGAATGAAAATAACAAAAAATACTGTGATCAATCTGTTTTCGTATGTCAAAAATGAAATAAACCAGAACGATACAGTTAGTATGTGTACACATAGATCGTCAGATAAGGCACGTGGAACCTACTTTTGTGAGATTGTGTTAGCCGACATTGTGCTGGCCTGGAGAAGAACTGTCATGGCGTCCCCTTGTGATTCTGTAACGGGCAATCTGGCGGCAGTATTACATGGGAAGCTCGACATTCGCCTGGTAAGACTTATTGTTTGTGTATTGTCGTATTCGTAACGCAGTATATTTTATCCGTTGTGTATTGACACGTTTTAACGATGCATTACCTATTCTTACACAATAAACAATTATAATGAAAAAATAGTACACCTTAGGGCACAGGGGCCAGACATATGTATATATCAATGTTTTGTAATCTGTTCCGTCGTACATTGTATAGTAATCTGTGCAAACAGTTACACTGTATATCATATGTGCCAAGTCACTGTGAATTAGGTAGTGTAAGCTAACAATGCTGATAAGAAAATACGCTGTAATTATATGATATTAGTAAGCATTCATCAGGTTTGTCAACTTAATACTAAATTAAGTTTTAAAAAATGTGAGAAGCCTACAAACTCAACTAATGATAAAAACCGTTTTCACTATAACACATACAACTATATCACTAGTCCACAAATCACAGTGTATTTATTAATGTAACAGATGTCTTCTAAACAGTGCCAGCTGTGGTGTCCTCAAATGCAATATGTAAATTGTCATTCCATTCAAGGACGTTTCAGAATTCCTGTTTGTTTGTACTTTGTTTTGTCCGTTTTTTGTGCGTTTTGTCACGATCGCTGTCGTCTACGTGTAGAGTTCTTTTCTAGTCTGTGAAGATGGAGCGTATCGTTCTTTAAAATGTCAGCTGTTGTGCCCTCGCCGTCACTATCAGTGAAGGTCTAATTGTGTGTATGCACTTTACATAGATACCACGATATCTCACATTATAAGGTGACCTATATTTATAAGTGTAGCATTAAACGATACACATGAAGTATGTATGTTGAAAACTGCAAATGATAAATGTCAAAGTTATTAACTTTTGATACCTAATTATAGCCTCAAACGTTTATTTCATTAGAAAGCAGGGTATTATCGCAAATATGTAGACAACCATATGATTTACACTAGAAACAATGGATGACCGGCTTTAAGTCAATAATGTATCAGTGTTTCAGGACTGTGCTTATAACCTTTTATAAATTAGAAAATACGGAAATCCCTCAAAATATGTATGTAAATGGTTTCATATGTGATACCGCCCACAGTATACTTTCTAATAACGCTCCTTCCATTTTTGTAAAAACGAATGTACTTATATAATCAGGTAATGTTTGTTTTATTTTTAAGGAGAAAATTGCCGTACCGGAACTAGAGGAGAATGGTTCGTATCTCTGATTAATCTTCAAAATAAATATAAAATTCTGTTAAGCAGGATAATAAAATAATCAAACAAAACATTAAATTTGTTAAACTCTTTAGGACCCCTGTAGGTAGGGCGTAAGAATTGTACCTGCTGCCCCCAATTGCATGATCGTAAGAGGCGACTACATTTGGGACCTTATCTCTTCTCTCCTTTCTAAATAACTTTCTTCTCCCTTGACAACGCCTCACTTTTGGCCATTTGTGGAGCGTTCGCCCCTGTGAGGAAGGCTTTGGGTTCTGTCCCCTGGCCGAGACATACTAAAGTATTTAAAAATGGTAGTTTATACACCTGCTTAACGCTCAGCAAATTAGGAGTGGGACGACTGGTTCGCCCGTTGTCAGTATAATGTGACCGAGTGGGGCGTCCTGCGGGGTGTCTTCGGCAGTATGTGTCAGTGAGGTAGCACTATAAAGTCGGCATCAGTTCCGCGCTATCAAAAGGAGACAAACACGAACATATCGCAGCCTCCCAAAATACACACACATACACTACACGCATGCATCTTGCACACAGGGGAGGCCGTCCTTAAATGACCTTAGCTGTTAAGAGGACGTTAAACAAAATCAAACAAACAAACAAACAAACTCTTTAGCAGAATATTGTAACAAAACTGAACTTCGGTACCTTCTAATTGCACAGAGACTTAGCGTTTGCAAAATGAGTAAAATCGTTCGGAATCATGATTTCATGTTATCATTTACAAAGATTTCTGTCATATAACAAAATAAAATCAACTAGACTCGAGAACGTTATCTCCGTTTACATAATTATTGCAGATGTATTATTTTCCGCTTTAATTTGTTGACAGTTAAAGAATTAATGTTAGAACTCCAAATGTCCCACTGCCCATTGACTATATGCCATAGACGATATAAATCTCGTTACAGAAGTGTTACTGGCCATGGGATCTGTGGGAATATGTGGATCGGACCTCAAGTACTGGATCGAGGGCAAGTGTGGCATCTTCACCCTCGGGCAGCCTATGGTGATGGGACATGAAGGGAGTGGTACTGTTGCGAGAGTCGGACCAGGAGTAAAGTCGCTTACAATAGGTAAGCTATATTATAAATCATTCTTAGTGTTTTTTGTTGTTGTTTGTGCGATTCAAATGTATATAAATAATTAAACAGTTTGAATATTTTATGACTTAAATATATTGTCTGTTAATAAATCTATGGCATTGAATTGATTACATTAAATCACGTCTGCATTTTGTAGACATTAATGTGTTGATATGATTATCTTGCGTAATGTATAATGGTGATTTAAGTCCCTTTGCTTAACAATTATAACTAATATTATTATCCATACGTTGTAAAGCGCTTTAGAGTGATTTTACAAATTATATAGGGCGCTATATAAATGTCGGATATTATTATTAGAGAAAATGACTCTGACAGGATTATTAAGGGGGAGATAACTCTGGTGAGAGATGAGAACGGGTAGAGCAGGGTCAAGCAAGAGTCACATTTGCATCTCCTTAATGTAAATAGGCATGACGTAATGATGTTAGTATCTGTTTCCTAGGTGACCGGGTGGCGGTGGAGCCAGGCGTTCCTTGTCGTAAGTGTGCCCTCTGTAAGAAGGGTAGATACAACCTGTGTAAAAAGATATGTTTCTGTGCCACGCCCCCTGACGACGGCAACCTTTGTAGGTACTACAAACACCCGGCTGACTTCTGCTTTAAGTAAGTTTTGATTCTAATTAAAACAATTTCGGATCTACTTGATAAGTATTTATATATAATTGTTTCTTGGACATGCTATTAACTTTCTTGCTGAGGCAGGAATGCTTTCAATAAAAACGCCTGACTAGCCTTATTAATACTTAAATCAATTTAAAATTGAAAAATACGATAAACAAAGCCAGCTTATGTGTTATGTAATGTGCTTCAAATGATAAAAAGACACTTTAGCGGTGAAAAGGGAGGATGGTGTCTAGGTTATTCCCGGAAATAGTATCCTCCAAGTATTTATGCAGCTAAACCTTCATTTTTTTCAAACAGTGTTGTCAAGCTACCTGACACCAGGGTCACCTTCTTCGTCTAACTACTTTCCCTTGTGACATATTGTATTTAATCTCTTGCTTGCAGACTTCCAGACCAAGTGAGTCTGGACGAGGGTGCTCTATTAGAGCCCCTGGCGGTGGCTATTTACAGCTGTCGTCGTGGTAACGTGGCACTTGGAACTAAAGTGCTAGTATGTGGTTCAGGTAAGTCCTCGATTGATTTGTTAAATAATCCAGTTTAGGTGTTTTTAGGATTCTATTCAGAGGAACATTAAATATAATCAACGATATGAAATCTACATAATGTATATATATATAAAAAGGGACAGGTGTATAAGCAGAACCCAAAATAGATACACCAAATGCAAAATAGGCACTGAGGAGAGCAATCATTATCTCCTAAAAACAAACAATAACAAAACACAACATTTATCATAAAAAATCGAAACCAGTTGCTGACAAACATGCATTTCAATCTTTATATGAAGCTGGCAATCATTGTGGAGTGATCAGTGGTGTTTTTAATGTGATCCTCTTAAGGAAACATTTAATTGGAGTAATTCCCCAAATTCAAACAACATAAGGACACAACATCATCCACGTTAGTCCTATTGTTACAAAGTATCGGGCAAGTATCTTACTGTATAACATGAAAGCTTCGTTGTGTATAAATATTCGTGGTTTTATAAATAAAAACAACTAATTCAAATGATTTACGTGACTACTGTTTTTTAATATAAGATACCCACGAAAGTTTGTACGACGAAACGATCTAAATGGCTTCAAACCACGAAGTAAAGTACCCACGAACATTTTTGTTATATAGTATTTGGTGTACTTACGTTCACTAAGTACAACCAGGATAGATCTCGGAACCTTACGATAGGTACAGTAGTGAAATGTGCACTGTGGTACTTTTATCTGACGAACGATCGGGTCAGGTCAACGATTCCTAGGTTGAACCAGGATACGAGATGACTTCACCAAATGATTAGTTCTCACAAAATTCGGCAAATATGACGTTGATCGTCAAATATACATAGCGAGCGGATAATTTCAGCATCGGTGTTATTCCCGTACCAGCAGTGTGTTATTCAACAAATAAAGAAATAACTAATGACATCATCATTATATAGCAAAGTGCAGCTGTACTTAACATTATTGTAGAAATTTGCAGCGGCGTTCGGGGTAAATTTATTAGCTATGTAAAGGCAAATGTGTTCGAAGATATTAATCACCACATTACGTAAAAACACTACTAATAAAAACACGTCTGCTATAAAAATTTTACTAAAAGGATGTCACATATTCTCTGACAGGAATGCTTTTTTAAAAATATCAAACACCAAACATTGAATTTCGGTTGAAAACAATTCGAGCAATTCGTTTACTTACTGAAGAGAATACATCAAAGCTAACAATGTTTAGTTTCCGACTTACTTTGGATACTGTCAATACACTTTCTGTTTTTATAAACTATATAATTATCCGTATATATTTATCTGTAGGTCCTGTGGGAATTTTGACAATGCTGGTAGCCAAACAAATGGGGGCTTCAAAGGTCCTTATAACAGGTGAGATTGCGATGTCACGATTGCACATTCGATTAATTATGTAAGGGACAGTTTGATACTGCTCCTTACCAATGTTGACCTACATTTCGGTTGCTGTGCTTCCCCGCTGTTACTATTTTATCACATATGATCGAGGGGGATTTTAAAATACTACCCATCGTGACACATTTTTCTAAGAATGGGGCTAACATGAGGAATAAAGAAAGGCATACTAAACAAGAGATCCCAGAGGGATCTTGACGCCCGCCTTTGTACCATCTTCATTAGTTCTTTGTCAGTTCGATCTTTTCTCTTCTTTCCTCTAATCTGTTTGATCCAGTCATGTTAACAGTAAATGCACCTTGAGGTAACTTTTGATCTAAACTTAATACTGATGTGTATGAAAGCCAATCTTCAAAGTGAGTTTGTCACTTCACATATTTACTAGTACAGTACTTAATGTGAAAGAAATAGAATCGATCATTGCAATATGAGAAAGATCTGTTTAGTTCTTCTCTTAATCCATTTTGTTTTTATGATCAGTCTCAAAATATACATGTAGCATGCACAACGAAAGGGGAACCTACATTTAAAATTTGAGAAAGATCCCTCCCGTACTTCCCGAGAAATAGCGATAACAAACTTTCACTATCAAAATCCAAGATGGCTGCCTGTCGGCCATGTTGTTTATCCGATCAGTCTCTAAAATTGCCCTGCACAGCTAGGACCAAGGGGAACCTACATATAAAATTTAAGAAATATCCCTCTAGTTCTTCCGGAGAAATAGCGGTAACAAACTTTCAATATCAAAATCCAAGATGGCTGCCTGTCGGCCATGTTGATTATCCGATCAGTCTCAAAAATTGCCCTGCACAGCTTAGGACCAACGGGAACCTACATATAAAATTTGAGAAAAATCCCTCTGGTACTTCTTGAGAAATACCGATAACAAGAATTGTTTAAGGACGGACGACGGACCACGGGTGATTTGAATAGGCTACCATCAGATGATGGTGGGCTAAAAATGAAGAATAATTAGAAGAAAAAAAGAAAGGTCCCAATTGCTGCCATCAGATCAATACTGATCTTATCTGCAATGCTTGTCGCCTCTCATAAGCACGTGATGGGCTACAAAATTTATGTTTTTTAACGTCTGCGAACAAACAGCTAGATATGATCTACCAGGAAGTAGGATTTTAAACGAATGGTCCGAGTGCTTATCTATCCAAAATACGTTGACACATAAATTGCACTGACATTCTAAACCAAATGTACTTGGAACAGTGCAAAAAGTATTCTAGTCTGGATCAGACATTTGTTCAGTGAACTAACAGTCGTTTAAATGAACTATGTAACCCCTATATTTTGTATAAAAAATCCAAGACGTGTAGAGTACCACTTTCTTCAGCTAGGACGGTCAGTGTAAATTGCATAAGTTAATTCCAGGGATTCATCTACCCTCTTGTCAGCTACTATGTCCCCTAAACGAAGTAGGGGATTTGATGATTTTGCTGCGTTTCATCTTCTTCTTTTTCCTCTTCCTACTCCTTCTGCACATGGGCATACGAGGGTATAACGCGTTTCATTTTCTGATCGGACATGAAACAAGGCCGTTTTCGTTTATCGCGATGCAAACGATTGAACCGGTTGGACCGAAGTTGTTCGTTTATGAAATAAGGTCGGACCCAGTAATCCAGGCGATTTGGTTTGGTTTTATTTTGTTTAACGTCCTATTAACAGATAAGGTCATTTAAGGACGGCCTCCCCTGTGTGCAAGATGCATGCATGTAGTGTATGCGTGTGTATTTTGGGAGGCTGCGATATGTTCGTGTTTGTCTTCTTGTGATAGAGCAGAACTGATGCCAACTTTAAAGTGCTACCTCACTGAAACATACTGCCGAAGACACCCAGCAGGACGCCCCACCCGGTCACACTATACTGACAATGGGCGAACCAGTCGTCCCACTCCTAACTTGCTGAGCGTTAAGCAGGTGTAGAATGTCTCGACCAGGGGACAGAACCCAAAGCCTTCCTGACAGGGGCGAACACTCAACAAATGGCCAAAACTGAGGCATTGTCAAGGGAGACATTAGGAAGAAGAAAGTTAAATTAGAAAGAAGAGAAAAGATAAGATCCGAACTTTAGTCGCCTCTTACGATCATGCAATTGAAAGGATATCCACCAGTTTGGCTCCCAGCATCAATGATGATTCACAGATAGACGAATTAAACAAATCAATGTCACACTGTAATTCTTTTGTTCTGTATGCTGTATCTTTAACCGAAGTTTACAGGTGCATATCAAATTTGTATGTCGTGCATTTTTTATTTTTACGAACGGAGAATACTATTGAGTGAACTTGTGTCGTGTACTGATAATTAAATATATTAATGTTGGTACGAATTGCATGATTTGAACATTCTGCTCCATCATTTTAAGCAAATCTTAAAACGATCAAGTAAATCGCTGAACATTTTCTGAACTAGAGGGATTAAGTGCGGCAAAAATGTGTACATCGTTCCTTTCAATTTCCTTATACAGGCACTACTAACAATGTGTAATAAAGTATAACGAGGATTGAAATTTTCTTAGAAATATGCATCGGATTTTTGGCGGATGAATTGCTTAATAACAAGAAAATATAGGCAGTTTTCTTTTTTGTGCAAGCACGATCACTATAAATTGACTGTTTCGTTGACCATGGTAGATATTGGAAACCCTCATCCTTAAAGCGTATATGTAATCAAAACATGTCTTATCAAGTGTCTATAAAAGAAAAAAGGAATATTAATAAACAAAACTCTTTAAGTATGTACATGTATTAGTAATTTCGTACAATTAACGATATACGTGCATGCCTGCTTGTTATACATTGTATATTACTGTGAAATTTCTGTGAATACTGAAAATTAGTTTTTTGCACTTAGATATAGACGACATCCGTTTAGAAATGGCAAATCGGATGGGTGCTGACCTGACCTTGAAAGTGACATCGGATGACTCCATGTGTCTAGCTAAACAGATCGAGGTCATGATGGGAGGTCAACCAGAAGTTTCCATAGAATGCAGCGGCGCAGACCTTAGTTACGCCACCGCTATACACGTAAGTGTGTCCATCTGCAGCAACAGGTCGGTATTACCTCAGACAGTAAAGATGTGCATACGCTGAACACGATTGTTGGTTGACAGTTACCAAGGTCACAGTTTTATTGTAAGGTGTTGCCAAATGTTTTCGTTTCAATGATTTAGCATGGACTGGACATGATATTTTCAAAATACATATTTGTTTCGCTTATCAATATGAATGAAGGTGAGCGAGATGATGTTGCATATATGGCTACATTTCAGTAATGTAGCATTTAGTTGTACATATTCCAATTTTGAAAGCTCCAGCATCAATCATACCAAGATTGGACAAGAGACTTTATTAAAGATGCTACATTCGGTGCCGAGAACGCTTTTGTCTTTCATATTTCATTTTGCATTTATTTTTTATGCGTGTTTTCAGGCAACTTTCCCTGGTGGATGTGTGGTGACGGTTGCGCGGCATAAGAACAGTGGAGACATTCCTCTTAACCATGCGGCTACCAAAGAAGTGGATATTAAGGGTATCTTCAGATACGCCAATTGGTACGTAAAAAATGTACCAGTACGTTTGCGAACAAATCTGTTTCGAGTTTCAATTTAATCTTGGTGTATGGAAACCTTTTTTTTTTCCTTTGGAGGATATGATCATTTCTGAAATAGTATAACAATCCTGTTACGTTAAGAGAGCAGCTTTATCAGGCTGGAGTTTGAGTAGCTATTAAAGGTGTTGGAATACTTGAAAAACTATAAACAAAATCGTCATATATTGTCAAGTATATACAATGGGTTATATTGCCAAGAAAACTAAAACACGCTGATCATCAAAAATGTATCGTTGTGTATGAAAACATATACAGTTGTCATTGAATGGGAAAACTATAGCAAAAGTGTCATGTCAGTGTAAATTTACTCCGATATCCGCCTTGTAACGAGAGAATAGTTTGGGCGTGATGTTTCTCTTTAAATAAGTTTGCCTGTTTCAATTCGGGTCAAATGTCATTCATGTATTGAAAACCATGATGTAGTGTGGCCGGAACAACTGCGGGACATTTTCCAGCTTTCTTTAATATAGCGTTCCATTAGTCGAACGAACCCTCTAAACTTTGATATGTTAAAAATATACATGTATCACTATGGCAACTCAAGAATGGTGGTCAGATCAAAATCTAATTCATTTCTAAATTGTATCTAGTTCGGCTGCTTTGTGGTTTCAAAATTCTTATATTTGACAGCTATCCAGCGGCGCTTGACTTTGTTACCAACAGTGGAGTGGATCTAACGCCACTGATAACACATCACTTTAACTTGATGAACACGACCAGCGCATTTGAAGCAGCAAGGTCACGTGACGCGCACGCAGTCAAAGTCATGATTCACTGCAACAAATAAATTTGTTTTAAAAGACGACGTGATTGTTTTGTTAATATCATCTTTATCGCTACTATGTTGGACACTAGACGTATATAGCTCATGTATAATTCTTACACTACTGTTCCTCATCAACATTTTTATTTATATTAAAACTGGTTATAAAATGGGTGTATATGTATAGTTTGTATCTACCGAAATGACACGTATGCAATCAACAACCAGTATAAGAGTATTTTTACAAAGTTGAATCTTAATTTTAAATAGAGTATTAAGGGGCGTGTATAACTGAGCATAAGAGTTGACCCTACGGTAAGTCTAAAGCACGTTGCTTCAGTCTTTATTTGTCTATGCGCAGTTCAGATTGCTCCTGCAGAGGGGTATCAAATAAGTAGAACCCACATTCTCTGAGGCATCTCGCTCATAGCTTTGTAATAGTGTATAATAAAAATTAACATAAAACATAACAAATATTGTACCATGTTTTCAATTTTAACTACTGGTTAGATAGCTAGCTATGTTTGTGAACTTTGTGTTATAAGATTATAATTCAGTTTCTTGTATCCTGTACGTTTGGTGCGATGTGACATGTATAACTCTTATCTCATATGGACATCATACACATTTATTTCGTGATACAAATTAATTGCTTGATACATATTCTATTTCTTGTAACATATCTAAAAAAAACTATTAATTGAATGGAATATAAGAGTGGAAAATAACTTAAAAATTAAGAATTAGTTTTCTGCTAAAATTGAGAGATGCAGGGAGAAAAGGCTATTATTAGAACCATTTGAGTATATATCAAGTATGAACATGAAACAGACAAAACTGTATAAGACTGGACCATTTCATTAAAAAAAAAAGTGTTTATATTTACGAAGTTCCATTGTATCATTTAATCAATGGGCTTCTCAAAATTTTAACAAAACATATACAAAACCACATTAGAATGATGGCAAACAAACATTAGCACACTACAATCAATCTAAACAATAAAAAAAACATAAAAATATTTAAAAAAACACTTCTTTCTGTAACCAGTTCCACTTAAAATCAGTGACTCGAAATCACATTCAGAGTTAAAATCAGTGACTCGAAATCACATTCAGAGTTAAAATCAGTGTATTTTATATTATGAAAATAAACTTTGTAACAAAAGTTGGTAAAAGATATACTACATAAATTTACGGTAATGTTTTAACCATCTCACTACCAACTACATTATATATGCTGTTTCATATGAAATTAGGTTTCTTAACTTGGTTAAAACAAATTCATATTTACAAAACTGTTCCTTTCATGGATTAAAATCATCATGGAAATTTGGTCTGTTTCTTAATTACAAAGACAGATGTTCATATACAGTTCAATTACAGTTTCCACGCATAAACAAAACAAACAAAATCTAATTAGTATAAATTGTTACTTAAAAAGTAAAACAACCAACATTTATATAATGGCATGATCAATAACCTCAAAGACTGTGGTTGATTGTTGAATTTTTTTTGTTGACATAGCTTTGGACATGAAAATATCCTAGGCATGCTCAACGATTGATCTGCATATTGAATAAGGTAGAAAAAAAACATATTGCATGGGAATAAATCACCTACTGTGTGTATTATTTTGGTAATTTAATTTAATATACAAATTTGCCGATTAGGAAGGTGCCTACCAAATTTGGTTGAAAATAGGCCATTTATAAGGCGGGCACTTTCCATTGCTATCAGGTTCGCATTTGGAAAGATATCCTTCTCCATTTCATGGGGGAAAAAATATCGTTTCTAATTTATTGTTTTCATTGCGTTTGAATTCCTACAAAATTGTCTCTCTTTTCCAAACAATCTATACAAACAGCCTTATTATTCCGTAAGTGTCTTTACTAGTTAAAACATATTATAATTGTACTAAAGTAATGAAAGCTTACGTTTGGAATAAACACTTCGGTAGATATACCGATAATGGATGACTTATATGTCTATATACATGACTCCTCAATTGTAATCAGTGTTCACTTTGATCGGTAAATACACAAACCTTTGATCATTTGGTCAACATAAATCTACACAAGTCTATACATCTTAATTATCTGATACAAACCATCTTGTACATCGTTATCAAAGAAAATATGATATAACCAATCAACACTTTCCCTAACTTTACCTTGCAATGCGGTCTAACGATCTAGTCAATTTAATGCAACACCCAGCCATATTTGTTGATCGTCATTCCACTTCAGCTTTCAGGAAAAATGGCTATATTGTGGAATGGGTGGTTGACAAGGACAATTTAGTAAAACAAGAGGCCCAGAGGGCCTGTATCGCTCACCTGGATATCTAAGCAATCATGGCAAAATATTCTCCAAATAAGATCCAACGGAATATGCCAGACCTCNCCCCTTTTGGCCCCGCCCCTCAGCCCCCTGGGGGGTCAGCCCAACCATTTGTACAATTTTGAATCCACACCACCTAGGGATGCTTCCAGTTAAATATGGTTGATATCCATCTCTTAGTTCCAGAGAAGATGTCGCTTAAAGCAATATAGCCAAATTGCCCCCTTATTGCCCCGCCCCTCAGCCCCCTGGGGGGTCAGCCCCATCATTTGTACAATTTTGAATCCCCACCACCTAGGGATGCTTCCAGTCAAATTTAGTTAAATTCCAGTAAGTGGTTAAGAAGAAGAAGTCGTTTAAAGAAATTGTTGACGGACGGACGACGGACGGACGGACGACGGACGCCACGGTATGGCATAACCTCACCTTGGTCCTTTGGACCCGGTGAGCTAAAAAAAGTTCAATTCCTCCCCTTTAACACTGAGTGGATGAATAGTGAACCAGATAACTAAGACCTATTATTAACAAAACTTAAAAGAGTTATGTGGAAAAACGTCCAACATGTCATATAGAATATATATAAACTTTATTTATTTTACAACAATTATGAAACAAGTTATTTCAACTTATATTATATTAATCACTCTTGTTGGCCAGGACGTTAGCGCGTGGGGTGGTCTTAGTGTGGGAGGAAACCGGAGTGCCCGGAGAAAACCCACGTGGTCGGGCAGGTGACCCATATAGAATAGCCTACAGTACACGAGAAATTTTCACCCATTATTATTTTCACTAATCACATTTAACCAATTTACCCTAAATTCACATTTGAACCTTACCAAATAATAGACTGAGCAAGCCCATTGTAAATATAAAGGGGTGAAAGAGATAATTACTTTATTATGTTGTTTACTAGCATTCCCTGTAAAGCTACATTTGCCCTCATTACTCAGGGGGAAAGGTGAAAGTTAAAATGTGGCGAAATTCCCCAGTATAGAGTAATTTGTAATAAATCAATTCAAGACAATAACATGATTGACCAGTTAGGACTCAACACATTGGGTGTATGTGGTGTTTATGTATTTATGTAATAAAAATGTCTTTAAAAATAAACAAATTATAAAAAAAACAAAAAAACAGTTAGGACTCAACACAAGCCATTCGGATTGATATGTATCGCCTGTGCATCGCTTTGACCATCAATGCACATATCAGAGAAACTAATTTAAACGCGAAAACTTAATGTTGATGGAAATGCTGACAAAGTCAAGGGGCCATGAAAGGTAGGCTCTATTTGATGTATGGGTTGAGATGTACTACCTAAGATTCATCTGATGGTCTAAGTTTGGTTGATCTAGTACTTATACTTTAAGTGAAACTTAGTTATACGCAAAAACTTCAAGATGACGCCACCGTCGCTGGAAAAGCTAAAACCTTAGTCTCGCTTCCGCTTTTCATGGCGACGAGGTAAAAACAATTACATTTTGTGGAAAGCTCAGTTCATCATCACGTTTTACGTTCAAGGTAATAGTTTCTATCATTATTTAGACAAAATAGGGAAAGTGTACATATTTCACTTCAAAAACATTAACATTATATATTTGTTTACATATTGTTAAACATAAAATGAAGTATTGCTTTTATTTCACAAATAGATTGCCAAATAACGGCTTAAACAAAATAGTATATACTTTTTCGTGGAAATGCATTAATCATGTCTGTCTTAAAGAATGAAATTCAAAATCAACAAAATGGGTTTTATATACATGTAAAAGGATTACTCTATTTGAGTGGAATATATTTTAAAAGCTGGCATTAAAAACGTTTGTTGCCAATAACACCGTATGAAAGTCGTCAATCTTTTTATAATGTTTTATCTTTTTATTCGGCTATATATATGCCAAAAAGAAAAGTGATATGTTTCAATTATTTATTTTTTAATCGTATTATGTACAAATCTCCCATGCACAATTCAAAAATGTATGCAATTTTTTTTTTATCTCTTGACTTGATATACAGCTAATTCCTAAATAATTGTAAGACTTCTAAATTGTAACAAAAATGTGTCTGTGATTAAGTTGTATCGGTCAAAAATGTTTCTATAGGGCATGACCATACCTGACAACTTTTAATGTTTTCCATGGGAGAAAAAACAGCTATTTTTTATTAAAAAACAGGCAAGTACTCATAACGGCCCAAACTTGACAAAATAATAACTTAAAATGTCACCGTTTAAAATAGTATACCATTTGTAATGAACTAACTTAATGCAAACAGAAAGAAAAGTTATGAAAAGTTACGAGTCTCCCTCATAAATAAATAGACTTTGTAGTTGTGTCTTCTTTTCATGAAAGCAGTATGACAAAAGCATTACATCATTGAAAAATAATTGAGTATTTTATATCAAAAATAAACACATAGTTAGAGGCATATCAGACTTGTAGAACGATAACCATTATATATCACAACTAGCTAGTCTTTGTGTGACAATGCAATGATAGGTACGGTACCTACTGTGGCACCTTCATCAGACAAACAACCAGTGAAGCGTACGTACACAAAGGTGTAAATTATGTACAAATTGGCAATAAAGTATCGATGTTGATTCGGTTACGCTATTTCGTTATAGTTGCTTATAGCGTATACGAATCAACATCGATTCTATATATCCAACTCGTACGTATTTTACACCTTTGTGTACATACGTTTCACCGCTCGTTTGTCTGATGAATGTGACAGAATACGTACTGTACTAATCAATTAAACGACACACCTAAACATTCACTGGTTGTGATACATAACTTTTCTACAATTCAATTCATGCTTATCAACCTGAGAAATGTTTTTAGAAAAAGGAACCATCATACCTATATCTATTTCTTCTATAATCTGAACTAGGCAAGAAGTGAAAATGTTTTGCTAAATTAAGACCTATATGGAGGTCATTTTAGATTTCTTATTTATGCAAAGAATTTAAATAACCACTCTTGATTGGTTTTAGTAACAGGAAACTTAATGGTATTCAATCTCTAAAACCAGTTAGGGATAAATTCACATGAGAAAAAATACTAGTCATCTCATTGAAATGATTTTTAAGAAAAATGATGCTTCGTTAATTGATCAAACACAATTAAGAAATGCACAAAAATACAACACTAAAAGTATTTCCTAACGTTTCTATATTTGAAAGACATTGTAAAACTGATGTTTGCATAATACAACCTGATATAAACAATCTCAAATGCCCTCAAAATACCTAAAAACGGTAAATATATACTAAAAAGGCTTGTTCATTGGCATCAATACAACGTCGGGTCTATGTAGCATTCATCAGCGAGTTTTCCTTTCCTTATCAAATAGTTGTCTCAATGGTGAGGGCCTATTTTGGAGGCTCATCAAACACTCCACACACCAGGTTAGCAGGTAAGGCACGATCTGAAAAACACATTAAATTTGAATTAAATTCTATAATCAAACAAGAGGCATGTGAACCCTAAAATCTCAATTAAAAGCTGATTTTTGCCTAAGGACAAATTGTTTTGGGTTAATTCTATATTTCAAATTGTTCCCAAAAAATAAACAAATGTTCTATGATTATTAAATTTCTTTCAGTGCATAAAAAAACAGACTTAATTTCTGCTTAAGAAATAAGGCCCAAAAGATATGCACATTCCGAAGAACATGACTGAAAAATAATTAGAAGGTCAGTAGGGATTTCTGAGGAGGGGGCTACTTCAGACAAAAATTACAACAAAAGGCCCAAAGGGCCTGTATTGAAGTATTTAACATATTTGACCTCTGTGACCTTGATAGAAAGTCAAGGTAATTTTCACTTGAAAGAGGATCAAGGTTATTTTGGTTCTCAGACTTTGTCGGGCTTTTTACAAACGAAGCTTTCAGCCAAATATCATGACTCAAGGCCTGTCCATTATTCAGTAGGGGTCTTTTGATGTGTTTGACATACTTGACCCATACGACCTTGAAAGTAAATTAAGGTTGTTTTGGTTCTCAAACTTTGTTGGGCTCCACTAAAAGAATCTACCAGCCAAATATTAAGACTCTATAAGTTTCAGTTCAACTTTGTCAGGCTCTTACGAATGAAGATTTTAGCCAAATATCATGACTCTATATGCCTGTCCATTATTCAGAAGTTGTTTAAATTGTTTTAGATATTTGAACCCTGTGACCTTGAAAGTAGGTCAAGCCCATTTTCGTTCTCAAACTTTGTCTGGCTCTTACGAATAAAGCTTTCAGCTAAATATTATGACTCTAGACCTGTCCATTATTCAGAAGAAGTCATTTGATGTGTTTTACATAACGGACGGACGACAAACGACGGATGCCGCGCCACGGCATAATTCTAAGCTCACATGGCCCTTCGTGCCTGGTGAGCTAAAAATCACCAAACATAGTTATTTGGACCAATTGTATTTCATGATCATATCTCATAATATTTTAAGGTCTTTTAACTAATATAACACGATTTTCGGTGCATTCAAATGAGACGTATAACCAGTAAGTGCATTCGAGCAATAAAACATTGCAAGGGTCGGAGGTAAAAACAAGGATCAGTCAATTAATGGCTTAATTCTGACATTTGCGCTAGCCTGTTGACTGAAGGTCAACCTATCTGCTTAATGATAAAATTATTTAAGCGTCATTAATTTATGAAAAAATATTTACTGAAAACAGTGGAACCAACTTATTATGATATTCTATTCGCCAGAGAGAAAAAAATGTAATAACCGGGTTACATGTGTCAAGTCAATTTCGATCATTTTATGTTTTCTGAACTGGAAAAACAACAACAAAAACCCGAAAAGTCACCAAAATCATAAATAATACTCAAACTCGAAAAAACTAGGGCAAATTATGAACATAGAAAAGATTTACATGGAGACCCTTAAAAAAGCGTGAGTAGTAAGCTGTTCTTGTGGGCCATGTAGTAAATGAAAATAGAAGAAAGCGGTGGAAGTTGAAGAATCTGTGGTGTTCTCGGTTTCAAGCTCTTGAGGGTTTATAAAACCGATTGGGTCAATTAATTTCCAGTTATTCAAAGAAAGGACATCATAATACCTTATTATTAGAGGAACTGCCTCCTGCTAAATTATAAAATCCCTATATGAACAAGTTCTAATTGTAATTGGGACCATTATAGAAGTCCACAAAACTGACCCATAGTTTCAAATGATGCTTGGATAGAGTTAACAATGCCACTACATACTTGCATTCTAAAAAATTAGACACAGTTAGGAACTGTTGGCATCACCTTGACGTACACCTTTAAATGTTTGAACCAATCAGACTTTTTTTACATTTGACCTTGGGGTAAAGTCCACAGTGACCAAATGACACTGCACTGCACAGTATCGGTAGGTGATGCAGGTATACAGCAAGTTCCATCAATATATCTTTATTTTTTTAAAAGTTACAGCCCGAACAAGATGTTCCTGAAAAATAAGCACATATTTGACCTTTGACCTTGGAGTCAAGGTCACAATGACCTAATGACAGTGCAGTTTCATCAAGATCTCTTTAACGGTTTAAAGGTTATGACCCAGACAACATCATATTAAAAGAACCAGAAGAACCAGTACTAATACAATATGTCTGCCTTCATTTAAAGAGGAGGCATAATAATTGTGATTTACCGGTTTTGCTATGTAAAGTTACTTTACCTGTTGTTTCTTATAGGTAAATATTTTTTCAGCACGATGTCAAACGATCACATGACGCATTACAATTACATGCCTTGTAAGTCATGCAGTGAAAGCAATTTGTATAGAAACAGTAACAATCAAAAGCACAGAATGTTCCCTTTGTTAAATGTTAACATTTATTCCAACGAAAACGGTGTACATTGTAAATTTTGAGAATAAATTAAATCAATCGTCCTCAGTTATTTCAACAATAACATAAACACTGAACTGATTTCCAGCACCATGTTGTTGGGGTGAAATTTATGGCCAGATTTCAACATTTTCTCACTGAGACATGGGTAAATCAATCTGCAATGCGATAAGGAAACTCTTGTATGATTAAAAAGACATTATACTTCCTTTTAAAGCCTTCATTAATGTCAGCATGGTTTTCTCACCTTATATGTCATGTTACCGTGAATATTCATAAATTGCATAGCCTATTTTGTAACAAAATTTGTGCCAGAAAGTATCGGTGATCATGTCCATTTTATACGTAGGTACAGTCCTAGAATGTATTTTAAATAACTATAGGCTACTCCCTGTGTTTTGTTTAGACAAAAACATATAACCAGCAATCGCAGGTTGATCTGTTGTTTTCGCTAACTGGGGTGAAGCGAAGAGTGAAAACAGTTACCTTGACAGGTGTGCTGTGTAACCATGACTTCCGGAGTTGTACAGTAAGTCAAATATATTGTCCAGGTGTTTCACATGGACAACTCATATTACCTGGGGGGTTTTGCTTACAATAATCCCTTCATGGCAGAAAAATTATTATAATAAATGGGGTCCCACATTTGACCATATCATAATAAAACTTGATACATGGAAAACTAGAAAAAGTCTGTAAGATATAAATGCCCCCGCTCATGGATTGGATGGGACGCAAAGCGGCACGACGGGACGGAACGGACATGGGCAACACTATATGCCCTCCACCCATTTTATGGTGGGGGCATAAAAATATAATAAGCGAGTGGGTTCCACTGTATACCGGTTTCACTGTATACTGGTAACAGATCCATTCATATGATTCCAAATAATTCTAAAAATCAGATGCAAGACTGACACATTGTGTAATAAAAGGCAGGCTTTTGCAAGACAATCCATAGAACCCCACCGGTAATGATTTCTTTATTTTCCCAGCTGTACACCTATCTCAGGATATAATTGACAGTGTCATACTTCTTCTGCTTCTCACTCTGCCAGCCATACTTACATACCAAATAGTATAGAAGATATTCCAGACATTTTTTATAAAGGTTGAGGTTAAATCTGGTTTCTTCAGATGAAATAGTATATATGACAAACTTTTTTCAAAGATTGAGGACAAAAGTAAAACAAGAGGTCACAGTGACCTACTTTTTCTACTTGTCACTTAGTCTTCCCAACATGTCCTTGCATACCAAATCTAAATACTCCTGTTGAAATAGTACAGAAAATATGACCTACAAAAACTGTTTTGAAGGACGGAATTCTGATTAAAGGACAAAGTGCAAACCTATATTCCCCCGTTTGAACTGGTTGGATACTGATAAAGGACACTTTATACTACACAGCATACCTATCTGTTTAGGGTAGGGGAGGTTGAGGTTTCCCATGATCTCCACAAAGGCCTCCTTTGATTTTGTTAGACGCGGATTGAAGGCCTTCTCCTCTGCCACTGTTGTTACTGTTTGACCTTAAAAAACAAAATTTAAAAGAGGCTTTAAAACAAATACAGGATGGAACATATTCTACATGAATAAAGAAAAATATATATGATTAGTTACTAGAAGTGTATACTTAAAGAAATGTAAGGCAAAACAATTCCAAGTGAGCATCACTATACAGAATAAGGAGAGCTTATAAATTAAGTTAGCTTACAAAACATTGTAATGAGCTTACAACATTTTAGGTGGAGCAGGTCTTACGGAATATTTCTGGGAGTGGAACCTTCAATAAATGAAGGGGAAGTTACATTAATTAAGGGTATTACAATTTGTATTATATTATAGTTCATAGAAGTCAGTTTAGATACATGTTTGCACAAATAATACAGATCCCTTTTACATGAACAATACTTTGGTTTACTGGTACTTTAAAATCTATGTAACATAACTTCTCTAGGAGAGTATAGAATGTTGCTAGAGTGACAATGATTTTTTATAAATAGAAGAAAGTGACCTTCACCTTGGCCTTAATACACTGAAGCATAACTTTCAAAGTGATCTTTTACATTAGATTTGTGAGAATTTGGATCGAAATCTGTTCAGAAATGAATTGTTTAAAGTGATAACAAAGACTTTCTTTATATAGGAGACGGCTATCGTGATCCTGGAACTCTGAAACATGGGTTTATTCAATGTTATCTAAAACTTTAGAGTTGTATTAAATTTGATCAAAACACAATCAAAAAAGTCTCTAGATTAAGACTGATAGTAACAAAGTATGCCTACTATAAATACTGTTACCCGCGGTTGGCGTTTGACCTTGAATTTTATTAGGGTTCACCCTCTATCCCCGCCAAATCACAACATTGTATCTACAATACATGCTTTCCAAAATCATAACTTTCATCCTTGACCTAGACAACTGACTTATGGCCTTGAATTTAAAAAAGTTAACTTCAACAAATGGCTCCTATTTGATCATTCCCAATCACTCACCTGTGTAGTCGTGAGCTGGGTAGAGGGAGAAGTCGGGAGGAAGAGTGAAGATCTTTGTATGAACAGACTCGTACAGTGTAGCAGCATCACCTGCAAGGGAATGGAAAACACTGAGTTCTACTTTTTGTCAGATGGATTTGGGTAACTTTGACATTGATGGTGACAGATGAAAATTCCTTTCAGTTAAAAAAATACGAATTAACCTAAGTTTAATTTTCCTATCTTTAAATACGTTCTAGACGAACTCAACCTTCGACAGTAAACTTATTAGCTCACCTGGTCCGAAGGACCATAGTGACTTATGCTGTGGCGCAGCTTCCGTCGTTCGTCGTCAACTAGTTCTTTAAAACATATCTCCTCCTAAACGCCAAAGGGGATTTCAACCAAATTTAGTCTGAAGCATCACTAGGGGAGGGCAATCATCTCTTGAATAAATGAGGTTGGTTTGACCCCTGAGGCCAGGGGGCGGGGCCCTTAAGGGGAACTTAGCTTTTAAACGCATCTCCTACTTAAAGCAAGTGAGGATTTTAACCAAATTTAGTCTGAAACTTTATTGGGGGAGGGCAATCATTTCCTAAATAAATGAGGCTGGTTCAACCCCTGGGGCTAGAAAGACCAGGCCCCATAGAGGAAAATTATCTAAAATTTTGCTTTAAGACATTAATACCCCCTAATTGCCGGAGTGGATTGTACAAAATTTGGTCAAAAACATTGAGGAAGAACAAACATTTCTTAATTGAATGAGGTTGATTAGACCCCTGCGGTCCTAATAAATGGTACAGCTAGATTATCATATTCTGTGGTGTAGTTTTCATGAATTGTTAAAAATTGGTTTCTAGGTTTATAAAAGCTTATAGTTGAAAGAAAATTAAAGTATTGTCTAATTACACCCTGTAATATGATATATTACTTATTTCAAAATCTGTTAACATGGCAACTCAATGGACGCCCCTGATTAGTTGAAAGTCAGATATTGTGGTCCCAGTTGGGTTAGAACATAGATCTTGTCTGGTGTTGAGGAAATTTCATATAAAGATGTACTAAAGCATTCAGTTGTAATGACTTATATATAAAACCAGGTGAGCGATACAGGTCCAATAGACCTCTTGTTGGAATAGTAAAAGTGCCTGCCTATTTTTATGTTCTTTTGTTTGTTCCCGACACATTTAACCCCTTTGACCTTTAAAATAAATCAAGCTCATCTAATTGAATAAATCTGATTACCACTTAGACAAGACAAAACAGCTACCCCTCTGACCTTATAAGTAAGTTAAGGTCATTTAATTGAATAAAGATTACCACTTTGAGAATAAAGCAGAAGTAGTTTAATTTAATTAGGTTTAAATACTATTGGTTAATGTTTTCATGTTATCAGCTCATAACATAAAAATAACTTACAAAAAACCTTTTTTCGGACAAAAGAACTGTAACAAGCATTTTGATTGGATGATGTAAACAATTTCGTTATGACGTCAGCGTATTGAATGTTTTAATTGAATTTTAGTATCTAGGTAATCCTTAAATGAATACCCTTATTTGTTTTTAAGTCTTAAAACACAATGATTTAACAAATTAACAGTTTTAAGTCTTTAATTAAAACTGTTACTTTGTAAAATCATTATATTTTCCTTATTATGTTTTTCTGTATTGTAAATCGTGTCATCAAATATGTTTAATGGTGACAATGTGTCGACATAGAATTGAATTCTGTACCGACCTTCCTGGAAGTCTGTACGTCCACAGCCACGGATCAGAAGTGTATCACCGGTGAAAGCCATCCCCTTCTCACGCCACACATAGGTACAGCATCCTACAAAATCAAAATACAACTAGAAATTTGCTTTTGTGAAATGTCTCCCCTTATTAGCCAATATGTATATTAAGAATAGAATCAGCTGTGGTACATCTTCATTTGGGCAGTTACTCATTTTGTAATTTGTAATCCCCCAAGAATTTTATTCCGGGGTACATATATGTTTCTTTCATACATTGTCCATTCAACAGCTATATAATACAGCTGGCTGGGTACATACATTGCCCAGTCAACAGCTATATAATACAGCTGGCCGGGTACATACATTGCCCAGTTATGATACAGCTGGCTGGGTACATACATTGCCCAGTTATGATACAGCTGGCCGGGTACATACATGAAAGTATTAGTAGTAGTATCACAGCTGTTATATCCCCTTAGCCCATATAAAGGTAGAATGTTTTCGTAAATCAATATTACTATTTGCTTATAATCTCAATCTGCCTTTGAGTCTTTTGTTCATAAAACACACATTATATTGTTAGTTATAAGATTTAATATGATACACACACATTCTATTGTAACTTATATTATTAAATATGATACACACACATTCTATTGTAAGTTATAAGATTAAATATGATACACACACATTCTATTGGAAGTTATAAGATTAAATATGATATACACACATTCTAATGTAAGTTATAAGATTAAATATGATATACACACATTCTAATGTAACTTAAAGGTTAAATATGATACACACATTATATTGTAACTTATAAGATTAAATATGATATACACACATTCTATTGTAAGTTATAAGATTAAATATGATATACACACATTCTATTGTAACGTATCAGATTAAATATGATATACACACATTCTATTGTAACTTATAAGATTTAATATGATACACACACATTCTATTGTAAGTTATAAGATTCAATATGATATACACACATTCTATTGTAAGTAATAAGATTAAATATGATATACACACATTCTATTGTAATTTATAAGATTTAATATGATATACACACATTCTATTGTAAGTTATAAGATTTAATATGATACACACACATTCTATTGTAAGTTATAAGATTTAATATGATACACACACATTCTAATGTAAGTTATAAGATTTAATATGAAATACACACATTCTATTGTAAGTTATAAGATTTATTGCGATAAATGCACATTATATTGTTAGTTATAAGATTTAATATGATACACACACATTCTATCGTAAGTTATAAGATTTATTGCGATAAACGCACATTATATTGTTAGTTATAAGATTTTATATGATACACATACATTCTATTGTAAGTTATAAGTTTTAATATGATACACACACACACACACATTCTATTGTAAGGTATAAGATTTAATATGATATACACACATTCTATTGTAAGTTATAAGATTAATATAATACACCCACATTCTATTGTAAGTTATAAGATTTATTGCGATAAACACACATTATATTGTTAGTTATAAGATTTTATATGATACACATACATTCTATTGTAAGTTATAAGATTTAATGCGATAAACACACACATTCTATTGTAAGTTATAAGATTTTATAAGATACACACATTCTAATGTAAGTTATAAGATTTAATATGATACACACACATTCTAATGTAAGTTATAACATTTAAAACGATAAACAGACACCATATTGTAAGTTATATTGTAAGATTTCATATGATATAAACACACTCATTCTATTTTAAGTTATAAGGTTTTATACAATATATACCATATTGTAAGATTTTATATAATTTATACACACACACCATATTGTAAGATTTCATATTATATATACACAAATTCTGTTGTTGGTTATAATAAGTTATATGATACACACACACACTATGTTGAAAGGTATACACATACTACATGGTAAGTTTTTAGGGGAAACAAGTATGCTGTGATAAAGGAAAGCAGATTCTTTACCATTTGTATAAAAATTGATTGTAGATAACTTATTATTATGTATTTCACTCTAAAGGACAGAAATAAAGTGACTTAAACCATGGAAAAAATATGAAGTATTTCAAACATATGGGAGCCAAGAAGGGACTTTCACTTATTCACCCCTACTTTTTTTTAAATGGACTTACCCGGCCTTTGATTTGGTAAGGTTCAAATGTGACATTAGGGATGAATGGGTTACCTCTGGTAATATCAGAAGGTACACGAGTACTTTAAGTAAACCAATGTAGTCCAGAACTTTGACAACCACAAATCACCAGTGAAGCGGGGCTTAGACTCTCACAAATCTATTACCATTTTTACAAAAAGAGTAGCCAAATCAAAATGTCAGTTTAATTCACCAAAGATAAAAGGTCAGATAAAACAGCTTTCTTACCATTGGTGTGTCCAGGGGTCCTCGCCACCTCCAATGAGAACTTTCCAAACTCAAGCTTTGTTCCATCTTTTGTTTTGACATCAGCGCTGGCTCCGCTGACCTCGGTGATAACACTTTTACACGAAGGGACCCGCTTCTTTATATCGCCTGTTCCTGTGATGTGGTCAGCATGGACATGGGTGTTGACTACAAATATAGAAACAAGACCAAACCTCAGTTACAGAATAAAGGAGGTATCTCATCAGTCTATACTGAATTTGTTAGTAGGTCATTTATCCTGTAAAGAAAAAAAATCCCATCAACTTTTAACTTCAAGCAAGAAAGAATTACCAATTTTCTATGAATATATCCCCTTATCTAAGCATTTCATTCCTGATACATTTAAAACCTTTGACAGATAAAAACTAGAAAGGTCTTTAGGACATGATTTATGCCCCTTGGCCCTGTGATTAACCTATCAATAACAAAGTGGCCTTGATGCTGACCTTGGACCCTGAAATACAAATATATCCAGGGTATTCTCATACTTGCCCTTTGTATGAAAATCTCCTAGGATTTCCCAAAATGAATTTGGTAAAGTCATATAAATTAATTCCAACATGACAGAACAGACACAGATATGGCTAACGTTACCAGTATAATGACCCTTTCATTCTCCACCCCCACTCTAAAATGATTGGGGCATGAACAAACTACTAAAACTGATTTTTTTAAATTTACAAAACAGTTCAAGTTTACCTTATGTATAAATTAAAAGACAAGGTTGGATTGAAAGTTTGGATAATCAGGGTTCAAACTATTCTTTTTGTATGAAGTAATTAATTCTATGAGAGAAAAAAAGATCCTCACTGAAACAAGAGGCCCATGGGCCTTAACGGTCACCTGATATATTTATACAGAGAGTTGATTTCGTTTTAAACATGAACAGAAATATTATTCAAAGTGACAAAAAACAATAAAACCACCATATTCAATATCAAGCATACAGATTTCAGACTAAAAAGGATTTGAAACTAGCACCTCTGATTCTAAACAAGGAAAATGAAGAAATTTTAGCACACTGACTCCCTCGAGCCCCACCCTACAGCCCTTGGGGGTAGGGCTGGCTCAAAATTCTCAAAGTATCAAACTGTCAACTCAAGGTTATAATTCCAATCAAGTTATTAACATGTAATATTCAAAGTATCATTTGCCATTATAAACCANATTTTTGTTGACCTTTGTCCATGGAAGGTCCCTGCAAAATTTCATTGAAATTGGTTCAGGGGTTTTGGAGAAGAAGTCGAAAATGTAAATTGTTTACGGACGCACGACGGACGACGGACGACGACGGACAAAAGGCGATCGCAATAGGTCACTTGAGACTTTGTCTCAGGTGACCTAAAAACACAAAATCATGTAAGAATTAACCTCCGGAAAACAGATTTGTTCCCCCGGTATGCTATTTCTGGCTGATTTACACATCTCCTATAAAAATAGAGCTCCCATTTAAGAATTTTATATATATATATATATATATCTTTTAATGAATGGATATAAAATGCAGGACTAATGTGATACATTTATACAATTGTCATTGAATAGCTGGCATACTTTTGATTTTAAATACCTGTAAAAACAGATAAGATATTAATTACTGCCACTAGGTGAAGTTCACAACATTCTAAAATTGAACTAATATTTTCATACTTGCAAATTTGAGATCAAGGCCAAGAGCCTTGACAAGGTTTAGATCGCGCTCCACAAGTTCGTAGACAGGGTCAATAAGTACCGCTTCCTTGCTGACTGGGTCGGCCAAAAGGTAAGTGTAGGTAAACGACTTGTAGTCCAGCAACTGTAACCATGGAATGTAAAATACAAAACATGCATTATTTGTTGATCTGTTATGTGTACATGTAAAGAGGTAGTCGTAAGTAAGTAACTGTATCTGTAACACAACACGAGCGACAAGGGTTGATGGTTGGTTAGAAGTTTATTAATCTCAAGTTTTGGGATCGGTCTCTGTTGTTTGTATATGTACCCTAGTGCAGTTTCTAAACGTCCCTAGCCCTTCTAGTCTCTTCTCTCGCCGTCCCTTGCTCTTCTAACATCTTCTCTCGCCGTCCCTTGCTCTTCTCTCATCTTCTCTCGCCGTCCCGTGCTCTTCTAACATCTTCTCTAGCCGTCCATTGCTCTTCTCTCATCTTCTCTGGCCGTCCCTTGCTCTTCTACCATCTTCTCTAGCCGTTTCTTGCTCTTCTCTCATCTTCTCTAGCCGTCCCTTGCTCTTCTCTCATCTTCTCTTGCCGTCCCTTGCTCTTCTCTCATCTACTCAAGCCGTCCCTTGCTCTTCTCTCATCTTCTCTCGCCGTCCCTTGCTCTTCTCCCCATTATCTCCTTTTTAGGTTATATTTATACCCGATTATAATCTATTGGTACGTGCATAGATAAGGTCCGTAAGTCCGTCATAATCAATTGGTACCTGCATAGCTGGTCAGTTGTGACTTTAAGATCATATCTACTATGTAATCCTGGATTCACATAACCAATTACATAACGTCGTAACGCTGACTGTGTCACATATCTCCTTCAACATATTTTTTAGTCCGTTATCTCAGATTAGCCTACATTAAGCCTCAAAAATATGTAAACAAAGGGAAATACAATACTTGTCATGCACTTAAGGATAATTAGAACTTTAAAAACTATTCAAATAAATTATTTTGCTATTGAGAACTTTATTCTCTACCCAAGGGAGAGCAGATGACCTAGGGAATAATGAAATTTACAATTTAGGTAATGGTAATTTAGGTAAGGAACTTTCTATCCATGAACAGTAAAACATCTGAGTGACTGATGACAATTTAATTTTTACTTTTAACCATAATCCCCATTTTGGCCCCACCCCTCCAGGCCCTGGGGATGGGGCAGGATCTTATTTCTCATACCATCTAAANCCAGGCCCTGGGGATGGGGCAGGATCTTATTTTCTCATACCATCTAAATGCCATCTGGCATCATAATCATTCCAATCAAGTTTGAATAATTCCCTGTTGAAAATGGACAAAATATACCAAAAAGTATTATTTCCCGATATAAACTAAAAATAGTCAACTTTACCCGCTTCCCAAAGGAGAATGGGTGGCCCGGGGGTAATAAAATTGAAAAATAGATAAAGCCCCTGACAGAATTTGCATCCGTGTACAGAATTTGATTGTATTACGGGTACATCGGAGTCTGAAGAAGATTTTACCCTGGGGTAAGGAAATTTACAATTTAAACAAAGCCCCTGATGATCTTTCAATCCATGCAGAGAAATTGACTGTAGTACCTCTGAGTCTGCATGGAGAAGAAGATTTTTGAAATATTTTTTAACTTTCCCTTTGGGGCCCCACCCTGGTCCCTGGGGTTGGGATAGGAATCCCAATTTTACAATTTGATACCATCTTTCTCCAAGGATGATTCTTACCAAGAATAATTTCCTACTGAAAATGAACAAAATATACCTTAAAGTGTTATTTCCCTAAATAAACTAAAGTAAACTGTACCCCCTCCCCAAAAGAGAATTGATGGCCCTGGGGTACGGAAAGTTACAATTCAAACAGAGCCCCTGATGTCAGATGATCTTTCAATCCATGCAGAGAAATTTACTGTAGTACCTCTTGAGTCTGGAGAAGAAGATTTTTGAAATATTGGTTAATTTTCCCTTTGGGACCTCGCCCTGGCCCCTAGAGTTGGGGTAGGTATCCCAATTTTACAATTTTGTAGCCTCAACTACCAAGGGTTATTCTGACCAAGATTGAAAAAATTCCTTCCACTGGATCTTGAGAAGAAGTCGAAAATGTAAAAAGTTTATGCACGACGAACGACGATGGACGAAAACCAAATAGAATAGGTCACCTAAAGCTCAGGTGACCTCAAAAACAGGTATAAGGAAGTTGGATGGACCGGACTAAGTACTGTACACTTAACAACAGTATGTTAATAAAATCACCTGGCTATTCAGATCTTATTACCATACTTGTCAGCAATATTAATCTGACTTCACTCTCAGAAAATGGTTCCAGTCTCTGGTCAGAAACCCTCTAGTCATGTGATTTTACTGTTTACACAATTAACAATTAAAAAAGTTGTTAAGGCGTCTGACATTCTGCTACCACTAGCCCTCCACCACTGGGTCGCAGGTTCGAGACCTACGTGGTGCAGTCACTAGCGGAAAGTCAGTGGTTTTTCTCCAGGAGGCTTTCCTCCACCACCAAAACCCAAGCACAAGCTTAAACACAAGCAAACCAAATAAAAAAATAGAAAATAACAAAGTTTATTTATTGAACTGTTGCCATAATTTGGTAAACATGAATATCTTTTTTTAAGTGCCTGTTGTCCAACTACACATTCTTAAAGCAAGAGATTAATCTAATATAAATCTTACCTGTCGAAATATGTAATCTTTCCCTTTTCCCGTGAAGTCAGACATCTTCTTAGTTCCTATGGAAACACAATTCCAATTTCTCCTTAACAACGCTGACTTTGATAACAGATTTGATTTCTGTGGCTGAAATTGCGATTTGGCACAGTTCCAACATAATGTGTTAGAAGGGCAAGTTACAGCACAGAGTGACCGAGCCACGAAATGAGAGATAGTGGCCGAACGCAGAAATGACCCGGAACGCAGAACTGACACAGACGTTTTAACCAAGGGCACCGCCATTATCACACAAACTGAAATCCAAAATGAGGATAGTTTCAGTTCATATTTGTTCACAAACTGAAATCCAAAATGAGGATAATTTCAGTTCATAACAGGGCTGCTAAAATAAATTGAGTGTAAAATAGGTTACAAAATTAGGGATTGACAAGCAGGCAACATGCATGTATTAAGATCGGTGTCTGGGTGTCTTCCTCAGAACCTGTACTTACCTTCTCCATATAGGTCCTTATATACATGTATGTGCTGATGCAACAATAAAATAGGAAGGGTAAAGGGATGGTAAATCAACAGGCAAAAGTTGCATACTCATGCAAACGGATATGATTTAACTCATGCACCCCTGAAACCACATTTGAACTCTTCCATTTCAAAGGTTGAAATAGTTCATTATGAAACTTAAGGGGTGAATGAGTTAATGGATATGTATATGCATGTTCATATGTATACATGTACATCTGTATGCATGTATGTACAAAAAAATAAAAGTGTAAAGGTGTACTTGACACATTCTAGTTATCTACATGTACACTAAAGAGGTTTTATACACTCAGGTAAAAATTGGGTTTGACCATGACTCATTGACACAAAACTTTTCTATAAGAACATTCTCAACTAGCAATGTGTGTTTCTTAAATTGTACGTTCCTTTCAATTAGGATGTTACAAAATAGTTGCATTTTTTGCTATTTATCCACTGCCTCCAGTGAGTCAGGAGTTTGTCTATTAACAAAGATGAGTTCATAAATAATTTAGCATTTCAATTTGATGTCTACAAAAGCAAAGTGATTAAAATATAAATATATGCATCATCATTCTTAGAAGTAAGAATATTTTTTGAATTAGTAAAAAAAAAATGTGACATCAGCGGTGCTGGCTTATTTATTATCAACTAAACGTGCAAACTGAAAGCAGTTCTATAATTACTTTTAAAAAAAAAATCAGAATATTTAATTCATAATTATAGTAGAATTCAATGTTTATTCAAATTATAAGTTTGTATCATGTATAATATAATTATAATTGTAATCTGGAAAGGTTGGTGGTGATATCCTGGGGTGTACAATTCCGTTGGTGCAATACTCAGAGCTAGCAGCTTTTCTATCTGGACTATTATGTACTGAACAAACATTCCCGCTTTTCCTGTTAAAGTCTGTTGAGTATCCTACAAATGGGCCTCAAGCACTTTGTTTTTTAAAACAAGTCTTAAAAAGGCGTGCATCAAAGGAATAGAACTGGCATATCTGTTGTTTATAATGCTGATACCCTTGTCAAATATTGACACTCAGATAAACCTTTTCCACTTTCTTTCATGGGTAAAACAGACTAACTTCTGCTTCTGGTATTCCTTATATAAAACTATGTTAATTTGCAGAATATAATTACTTCGTTTTATAAAGGTTTAATGATAATGATACAAATGTGCATGATTTTTAAACATTTTTTTTTCAAGAAAAAGAGAAATACCTTAATTATTTTTTAGGAATTTAATTTAAATTAATATGCCATCAAATTTCCAAATCACCACAGCTATTTCATCAAATATGCCACCTATATATTCCACCATTGGCCATTAATGGGGCGTGGGTACTAATATTAATACCGGGCCTCCTCTGCCCCGTAGACGCAGTATATAAAAATGTCTTGTAGTCAGAAGCTACACTATCACAGCTAAGCACACATATAGATCCCCAAATCCAGGTCTATATAATGTACATATAGTACAGACTGTAAGGTTGGGATTCTATACATCCAATCAACTTAGTATTATACTTTATCTTAGCTTTTTTTCTGGATTTAAGCATTAAAAATGCCTTTTTTGTTACATTTACATTTGTCAAATAATCGTGCAAAGTACAGAAATACAATTGTATTTCACACTCAAAGACTGTGTGATGTAACAGGTTGTTCGACGAGTATGCTATAAAAGTATGTATAAAAATAAACACTGCACATGAGTCCACGAATTATATAATCCAAGATGCCTCTTTCTCAAATGTGAAACACTGGTGTACCTTAACTGGAAAATATTTTCACATGCAGTTGGACGCCTTTGAATATACTTTTCACAGCATTAGAGATGAACCAGTACACTTGTCTTAAGAATGGCTAATGTATGCATCAAAATGACATACAGAATCTGTCTAGATGAATTAATTCCAATATTTTCCAGCTGGAAATTTAAAAGACCCAGACTTCTAGCACAGTTATTGTTTCAATACTGCACACAAACCAGTGAGATACTAGTAAACTGAAGGCCACTTCAATATAATCAGTGTTAACCACTTATCTATTTATTTCTCCGAGGTCACCCGATATACAACCGATCAAATTATTTAGGTCACCTTTACAAGGTCAATCAAATTATCTGTAAAATGTCAGGGTAGGTAGACGACCATCTATTTGTATATATATGTATAATGCTATCTCTACTTTATCTAATATAAACAATATGTCTATTTTTAGACAGTCAATGTCTAAAAAGTGCCTAATAAAAAATCTACAAAGTCAGCTGCAGTGAAAATTGGGATAGGTATAGCAATATATATGGTATACCGTAAACAGGGGTGAGTCCAGAATTTTCAGCTGGAGGATGAAGGATTAGGGGGCTGGTGAAACAAGTGTGGACCCCCCAATTTTATGTTATAGATTCCATCGGCTGTAGAAATGTATGGTCAAACAAGTTCAGATATCAAATAATGAGAAAGTGCAATCCCACCCTTACAATAAAAACAAACATGTATATCCAATTTTGTAAGTATCAAATCAAGGCAGAGGGAACACCCGGCCCCTGGATCTGCCAATGTTATATTCTGGCATGAATCCTTGTTGTGTGTGAACCAACATGTACACATCTCGTACTGTGACCTAAGTATGAAAGCCAGTGCTTTGGAAGGGTACAGGTGTAATGACCACCTTGAGGAATAGCTTACCATCTGCTACAAGGAAGTCAAAAACTCTGGCTAAATTCAAGAAGGATATATAAAGACCCACCTTCTGATGTCTGCATTTTAGGCTATTTTGTGCAGACCTTATGTAGACCCCACCCTATATCTCTATATAGTTTATTAGAGCCCCAAGATGGGTGAAAGCGCTAGCCGATTTTACTAGTCTTTGTGTTTTGTTTTATTTATAGTTATATTAATTATGATGTCAAAATTTCTCCTTCAAATAAACAGTCTGAAAAATCTCCTTGATGAATTAAAAGCGCTACCAGTAATTACATGTTGTTGAGGTTTTTTCTTTTTATATTATTGACCCACTATATATATTTAAATTATATTCATATGGGGATAAATGTCTTGTTACCTGATGTAACATGTAACATGCTGATTTGTATGCCTCTTTTTATCTAGTTTATATTTCTAACTATCAATGTAGGAATACTATTATTCATGTGTTGTAAAATGCCTTAGAGTAATTATAATGCAAATTCTATAGGGCGCTACATGTATATAAATGATTTTAGTATCTTTCTCATGCAGTATCAATGTCAAAACTGGCTAAAACTGCATCCTACAGCTAGTATCATACATGGCGAGACAGAGTTTATAGTGTCATACGTACTGTAAACAAAAGTTGACTTGATTTATCAATCGGAGGATATATATCTATAAAATAAAAGATAACACTCATCAAGGATGTGATAGCCTTAAAACTTTTGATAAAAAAGTTCAACAAATGGCCAGCTTGACTGTAAGTAGGACACATACATGTACAAATAGGCCTACTGAATGTAGGGTAGCGGATCAAGGAACTGGACAAGTTTAAACAGTGGGTCGTTCATCAGCTACCAGATAGCTCAATTGGTAGAGCCTCTCAGTATTGAGTTCAGAGGGTCCTGGGTTCGTATTAACTGGTACATTTTTCCATTCATGTTTCAAATGTTTTCAAACATTTGGTGTACACTTGGCAATGGAATACCTGAACTTGAGTTGTAAATAGTGATTTATTCAGATGGAAGACTTGAAAAAAGGAGGGAGGAATATGTTACTCCCTAATGGTAGCCCGACATCTCTCTGTCAAAATGTCTATGGTAGGTCTGGTATCAGGGCCAGAGACAACTTGGGCTACTCCCTTGGTAAAGCATCAATATATATAGTTTGGAGGGTCCCAGGTTTGAATTCCGGTCTGGACGTGCATTTTCCCTTTTCTAGGCCTGTTACAGCAGTAACAAGTAAATATATGCAACACTGGCATTTAAAAATAACATATCAAAATCCTTAACCTTTTACAATGCCAAAAAGTTAAACAAAATATTTCTAATTAAATACCATGAAATTATCAATTTTCGTGGGCTCAAATTTCGTGGTTTCCTAAAAAAATCATAACTTTGTGGGTATACATGAACTTGTGGGTCACAAGTACCTTCTCATACTGAGAAAAGTTTTATATGAAACTTGCAATAACTTCATGGACCTATGAATTTGAAGATGAAGAGTAATCATGAAATCAAAAAAAACAAAACATGAAAATTAGTGATCTCACAGGGCTATATATGCTGGTTGTCTAAATCATATCCTTTCATGGGAATTATATGTATGATATTTACAGATATTGGGTATAATTCTGAAAAATAATATTTGCTAGTGAATTTTTAGCTTTTTAAAATATTTGATGAACACAAATGTAACTAAATTACTCCCCCATGAATAATACCTACTATACAGTATATTTTATCATGGCCAATGTTAATTAAATTGTTATGCATTCAGAGAAGTAATTTCCTACATTTCTATTTTTTTTTAAATCATCAGAAATTCTATAGAACTTTCACTGTTTGAAATTTGCCTATTTGAAAGTATAGATAGAAGATGAATAGAATCAAAGAAATGTGCGAAGACTTTTTTGATTTTTAAAAATACACTGTATCAAAAATAAAGCTAAAACCATATTTTCTGTAATTATTGCACATTCCTTTAAAAGCACTTTATCCCCTTTTTTCGGAAGGAACTGAAATTATATACACCCCTCCCATTCCTCTACCAGGCCTCTGGTGAGCATGGCTGGACTTTCCCGGAACCTCCAGTCCCGCTAGAATGTTGATAATATATACATCCTGCAGTCATAACAACGACTGGAATTGAACAACTTTTTATCCTAATACCCCCCCCCCCAATTCCACACTTTTAAATTGCCAAGGGTGCTAACTAAGGCGAATATGGTAGTTAAAAAGTTCCTTCATTCATTTATGCTTACAGTGATGCAGATTTACAACAGTTTACCATAGTTTCTATTATGATTCATTAATCATTATGCTAATTACAGTCAACTGATTCAAAAACTGGTTCAACACTCAGACACTTGGCAAATAACAGTCAGCATTAATTAAGTTCTCTGTGAGGGTTTGGACTTGGTAGCAATATAATTTAGATCAGTGAAGAGGAACTTAGATTATCTAGGAGTACAGTATCTATGTGAATTTGGAACAAGAAAATATTCACTGCCTATACTACACTTTACCATTGATAAAAGATAGAGCTATACAGGAATTATGTATAATCTTGACAAGGATAGTAACTCTATATCAGAAAAAAAAGTTCTATATAAAACAGCTCTGGATCGGAACTCTCATTGGCAAATAAATATAAATTGCATGCTAGCACTGTGGTACTGTTAAATATGTTTTGATAGTGCAGCAATACTCTGATACCGTCTGTTTTTTGATAATGCAGCAATACCCTACTGTTTCTATCATGTTTCCGTCCATAAAATTTTGTTTTATGAAATCCTTTCTTCTGTCTGAAAATTTATAAGCACAAAAGAGAAATCTGAATTATATAAAATATAGCCTTAATACAGTCAAATGTATTTGTAGACCTATTTCTGAAAATCTAATATTTCCTGCAAATCTGATGCAATAATATACACACAAATTATATCCCCGACTGTCAATTTCCTCTTTTAGGTGTACAATTGGAACACCTGTCAATTGTCAAACTTGACCTGAATTGGAAGCGTTTGTGTCCTCAATATCATTTGAAATTATATAATTTATTTTTCCATATCTATATATATATATATTAGACATTAAAGCGTGAATTACATTTTAGCCTTCTTTATTTTGAATACATGTACTTTAATACATAAAGCTACCAATTATTTACAATAAGTACAGAGGTTCAATATATATAAATACTCTCTTTTCTTTACCTTTTTTCTAGTCTGACCAGAGAATTTATCCAAAAGTCCATGGTGTGTGCCTGTCCAAACAAATTATCTGACACAGTCTCTATCGTTTGCGTCAGATATGTATATGTCAGCTCAGCATTCGCTGCCTAGATCTCTTGGTTTTAATATCTTATAATACATAGGTATATTTTATGTTCGATGGGGTTCTTAACTTCTTTACAACTATATTTTCCAATGAAAATTTATCACATAACATCAAGGATTTAGACAGTGTGTTGCAACCTCACTTGTCCATGTATTTAGCTGGTTTACAAACCATTTACTACGGTTAAACGATTTTTTTATTTAGATTAACTGTGTACGTGACTTAAACTTACAGAACTGGGTCACTAGGGTAGCTGCTGAAGCACTGCAGATGGTGTCCTAATTCCAGAGGCAATAAACATTAAACAGATAATGAAATATATATTTAACAACGCATACTTTTTTACGCCTTACTTATAAATCCAATCATCTGCAATGAAGTTTATTTACGACTATAACGTTAAGCGAATATGAACTTGATAAAGATAACTTGTATATAGGCCTATACTTACCAATCCTGCTGCAATCCTGGCGGACAACTCTGTCGAAGCCCCTCTGTCAACGTACTTTCTCTTTGAGACGTGAGGGGAAATGCGTTCTGCGCATGACAGCTGTTAGGCCAGAGGTGTCAAGGTCGCATAGGACTAGCAACTTACATTTGTGAGGAAGTCGTCGTAAACCAAGATAATTGATTGGCCTCAGAGTATGTATGTACTGGAATGACAACATTGAAGGGTGCACGCCGCTTCGTGGTTCCTTATCATAGGCCTAGCCACAGTAACGTTAGCTTACAGTGATGACGTGCTAAAATATATTCGGTCACAATGGCGGTTTAGCGTGTTTACATTGTGACAATTAAAAATACCGCCGATTTCAAAGTAGGCCTAATCTTAACAGGGTACAGTAGCCAAATCGTATAAAACTTGCACACCTACCTTCAGTATTTCCGATGTTTTGAGATATATTTTTTCTAATCTGGTTAACAAGGACATTCCCCTAGAATGTCTTCTTTTTTAATTACTCTTATTTTTTGCCTTTTATGTGATTTATTTACTTTTAAATGTTGATAACTTTATCTGGACCGTATGTCACGTGTAAACCTTCCTAAAATTCTTTAAAATATCAATAAATCTTCAATGTTGGCTCTAACAGAGTAATTAAAGGCTTCAGAATAACACAAATGATGCAATACTATGCTATAATGCTATATCAATCCCACTATTTTTTACCAAATCTCACTGAAAATAATCACTGATCTCACTATTTTGCACCGGAAAGTTATGGCATGTATGATTTAGTAAAGTGTCCATTCTGAAGAGGATCTACATGTATCTGACTTCTGACGTTTTATCAACTTTTTTTATATCGGTCTGTCGTCTATACACGTTATAACTCCGGCCCTCTATAATATCGGGGAAATATGCGACCCGCACCGGGAGCGCACTTCAAACTGATATTTTTTTTTTAAATCGTCACTCTCACACACATGTCGCACATGGATCGAAAGATCTATTCTTTATGCACTAGGTGGTATTAATAACATGTTTCAAAGATCATTACGAAAAGTATTTTCCAACGTTTTCTATACCAACCCATGTTTTCAATGGAAATAAGGTCGAGCAATGTCACGTGACTTGATGAGATCTCGCGTTACTGAAGGTATTTCCCAACGTTATGACGTAGGATGGCAAGATTTTAGTCACGTGGCCCATTAGAAGGCGGGGCTATCAAAAACAGAGTTAGTTTGAACAAATATGTTTTTAGTGATTGTATTGTTTGTTTGAGGCATGTAATGTATGTTCGTCTTGTGCATAAAGAATAGATCTTTCGATCCATGTGCGATATATGTGTGAAAGTGACAATGCGGGGCGCATATTTCCCGCATATTATAGAGGGCCGGAGTTCTGACGTTAATCGACGACAGACCGATATAAAAAAAGTCGATAAAATGTCAGAATAATTCGGACTAGTCTGACAGGTTGGGCGCATATGGGTAACAATCCTGCATTTAGGTAACAGCTACCCATTTGAGTAACAATTTTATTACTGAAATGGGGAAAAGGTGAAATAAAAACACACAAAGTTCTTTTACACATTAAACAAAAAATGGTGTCATTCTTTCAACATAATCAAATTAAAAGTACAATAAGGTACAATAGTGCATAAAAATATGTTTATTCAGTTGTCTACATTTTTGTCATCATGACACAAATTATATCACCTCCATTGCTTATAGTGTGTTGTAGAGTAGCTATAAATATCACACAGAAAGAAGCTTGCTTACATGTACCTGTCACATTTGCACTGAATGATTCCATTGCCTATACACACTGAAGTCAATGGAGAGCAAAGTCAGTGATATGGTTTGTCATTTTCACAAAAACTTAGATCTCAAAATTGATAATTTTTTGTGCACAAATGTACATGATTGTTTTATTTATTGGATTTAGTTGAAAGAAAAATGCCCTTTTTTGCTCCAAGTGTTTAAAAAGTACTTTGTGTGTTTTTATTTCACTTTATTCCCAATTTCAGTAATAAAGTTATTACTCAAATGGGTAACTGTTACCCGAATGCAGGATTATTACCCATATGCGCCGTTGTGCCTAACCTGTCTGAGGTCGACTGTACCTTACATAATGGTAGGCCTCAGATATAAATTGATACATAGAACCATGCCCCTGTGGATCACATGGACAGACAGTATTCAATATGTTTTAATTTCTGAACGTGGGTTGTCTTTTACTTTGCCACAGGGGCACGCATTTCAATGTCGTGTATTTATTTATGGCCACCCTGTAATACTCCCTAGTTAGGCCTAGCTATGTATGTTATAGGCTAACAATCAGATGGGTCATTTTTTTATACCCAGGTGGACTCACTTGACTGAAGCATTTTCCAGCAAAACTTGAATGGTTCATATGATGAAGAACTTTCCCTCCAAATTCATTTTCTTTTTTAATATTAAATAACGATTATATAGTGATTGTATGGTTAAAGGAGCAGTTTAACTTAGTGATTCACTCCATGCAGGTTCTGAGGATTGAAGGTTCTGTAATGAGATAAATGTGCCAAGACCTTGAAAGCTATCACAAAACGTGATTTTATTACAAGTGCACATATGTAAAGCATATATATATATATTACTCCCATTTAATAATTCACTTATATACATGTACATGTATTATAATATTGTAGAACTTAGGGATAATCCTGAAGGCGGCCATTGGCCCCTCAAAACTGGAATTGACTCCTCTGATCATCATTTTTTTTATATGACTTAAAATGGTCCCTCTTCTTCCAATTAAAGTGCAGACCCTTAAAGGTATTCTCCGCTGGTTCTTGTCAGGCTTGTTTGACAACATTAATAGACCTACAATGTACAGTTATATTCTGTATTTATTATCCTCCATGCCGTTAATTATAATTGACTGTTGACATTTTGTTCCCTAAACAAATGCACTTTCGTACCTACATACATATTTGCCGGAGTTACATTAAGAAGAACCATGGCTTTTAGAGTTAAGCAATTTTGAAAGTAATTTTCGAGGTCTATAGGGCTGAATCATAATGAACAATACCTACTACAGAGAGAGAAAAAAAGATGGTCAGCCAGCTCCACAAAAGCTTCTAAAAGTGACTGAATAAATTTCAATTGATACACATGTTTATAAATTCAAAAATTCAGGCAAAATGCATATGCAAAAACATACTTGAACTATCCCAGAACAACTCTTAATGATTATACTGATATAATACTAGACTCGTAGGGCAAGAGTGTTCCTAATTCAACTATTGACCCATCAGTAATATCCTTACTAAAACATTTTGATATCACAAGGTAAATAAAAATATGGGTGTGCTTGGTCTGTATGCGAGTACTAGAAATTAATGAATACATTTCTTCTACAGTATTAATTATTTTGTTCTTTGATTTGCAGCCATCATGGACAGTGAAGTTGTGAGAGATGGACGTCTAATGGAGATGGTGGATGAAAAATGGCGAGAAGACAAATTACCAATGGAAGACATTGCAGTCCCCCAGATGGAGCTACCCGAACTAGAACCTGACAACGGCCCTAGCAACGAAACGCTGCGCGAACAAGAACAAAAATGGACAGATTTGGCACTTTCACGTCTCCATGAGCAACCACCCCTATCAAACTCAAATGGCTGAAACTGTGGTTGCTTACATCATGAATAGGAGCTGTATCCATCAATATACAGCTAAAAACTTAAAATTATATAGTGTTAAATGGGAACAATTGTGAATTGTTCCTGCAAAATACTCCACCGTAAAACACATGAATTAGTCAACACTGAACTGTTTGATGCTCATAGAGAATTAATTTCCATGTTGGACAGATCCATGACTTTGGTATGAACACTTTTAATGAAGGATTCCTGTCCCACGGCAGGCAAAACAGTAGATAATTCCACATTGGTTTTGTTTTGTTATTGGGTTACCTCCCTTTAAATTGGTTTTAGATATATGTACATGTATGTAACAAAGGCATGTCAGTCCCGGGGTACTCTATTGACAGGGAAACTCAGTAAATTAGAGAGACTGTATGATGACCAGAGGTCTCAGATTTTAATTCTTACTCTCAGAACACTGTTATTTCTTGCTGTTTATTGTCTTCATAAAAACATGTACATTGCATGTTTTCTTCAAAATGGATTCATTTAGAGGTAAAGTAATGCATTGAATGCATAGTTAAAACTTTCATCTGTAGTACAGGGGTCCTCACAACCATACTACTGTTCAGTGTTCTGTTAAATGAGATGAGTTTGTCAGAATAAACACCTATATTTATTACATATAAAATAAAATTTGTTTGTATTATTTTCTATAAATATAGAATACTGAGGTTATCTCAAAAGGTTTTCTTTTTGAGATCTTTGTGGTTACTGTTTCTGTATGCTCACTAGCTGCTTACAAATTTATTGATCCCCAACCTTCTCCAAAGAAAACAAATGTATGTGACCTGGCTGGAAGGGCAAAATAGTGGCATCCGTCAATCGTTAATCTGGAGTCAAATGTTTATTTAAACAACTTCTTCTGAATAACCAACTAAGATGCCTAGAATGATGATATTGAACAGATGACTTGTTGAGATGGAGAGTAACAAACATTATTCAAATGAATGACCTTGACTTACATCAAGGTCAAAAGGGGTCAAATATATTTTGAAAACATTGAAAGGACTACTTCTGAACGATTAAATGGCCCAAGATGTTATTATTTGGCTGGTTTGCACTTGGATGAAGGCCTACCAAATGTGTATTCAAATAATTGACCTTCACTTATATTCAAGGTCACAGGGGTCAAATATATTTTGAAAACATTGAAAGGACTACTTCTGAACGATTAAATGGCCCAAGATGTTATTTGGCTGGTTTGCACTTGGATGAAGGCCTACCAAATGTGTATTCAAATAATTGACCTTCACTTATATTCAAGGTCACAGGGGTCAAATATATTTTGAAAACATTGAAAGGACTACTTCTGAACGATTAAATGGCCCAAGATGTTATTTGGCTGGTTTGCACTTGGATGAAGGCCTACCAAATGTGTATTCAAATAATTGACCTTGACTTATATTCAAGGTCACAGGGGTCAAATATATCGAAATCTATTAACTAACTTCTTTTGAAAACCAAAAGGCCCAAGATGTTGATATTTGGCAGATGACTTGCTTGGAAGATTGACATACACTTATATTTCAAGGTCACAGGGGTCAATTGTCTTTAAAACAGCATCATGCATGGATGAGCTATCAAATATCAATGACCTTACTAATCAGTAATGTACATGTATATACAAACATGAGCTATCAAATATCAATGACCTTACTTATCAGTAATGTACATGTATATACAAACATGAGCCATCAAATATCAATGACCTTACTAATCAGTAACGTATAAACAAACATGAACTATCAAATATCAATGACCTTACTAATCAGTAATGTACATGTATATACAAACATGAGCTACCAAATATCAATGACCTTACTAATCAGTAACGTATAAACAAACATGAACTATCAAATATCAATGACATTACTGGTCAGCAATGTACATGTATATACAAACATGAACTGTCAAATATCAGTGACCTTACTAATCAGTAATGTACATGGATATACAAACATAAACTATCAAATATCAATGACCTTACTTAACAGTAATGTATATACAAACATAAACTATCAAATATGAATGACCTTACTAATCAGTAATGTACATGCATATACAAACATGAGCTATCAAATATCAATGACATTACTGATAAGTAATGTACATGTATATACAAACATGAACTATCAAATATCAGTGACCTTACTAATCAGTAATGTACATGTATAAACAAACATGAGCTATCAAATATCAATGACATTACTGATCAGTAATGTACATGTATATACAAACATGAGCTACCAAATATCAATGACCTTACTAATCAGTAATGTACATGCATATACAAACATGAACTATCAAATATCAATGACATTACTGATAAGTAATGTACATGTATATACAAACATGAGCCATCAAATATCAATGACCTTACTAATCAGTAATGCACATGTATATACAAACATAAACTATCAAATATCAATGACCTTACTAATCAGTAATGTACATGCATATACAAACATGAGCTATCAAATATCAATGACCTTACTTATCAGTAATATACATGTATATACAAACATAAACTATCAAATATGAATGACCTTACTAATCAGTAATGTACATGTATAAACAAACATGAGCTATCAAATATCAATGACCTTACTTATCAGTAATGTACATGTATATACAAATATGAGCTATCAAATATCAATGACCTTACTTATCAGTAATTTACATGTATATACAAACATGAGCCATCAAAGATCAATGACCTTACTAATCAGTAACGTATAAACAAACATGAACTATCAAATATCAATGAAATTACTGGTCAGTAATGTACATGTATATACAAACATGAACTATCAAATATCAATGACATTACTGATCAGGAATGTACATGTATATACAAACATGAACTATCAAATATCAATGACATTACTGATAAGTAATGTACATGTATATACAAACATGAGCTACCAAATATCAATGACCTTACTAATCAGTAATGCACATGTATATACAAACATAAACTATCAAATATCAATGACCTTACTTATCAGTAATTTACATGTATATACAAACATGAGCCATCAAAGATCAATGACCTTACTAATCAGTAACGTATAAACAAACATGAACTATCAAATATCAATGACATTACTGGTCAGCAATGTACATGTATATACAAACATGAACTGTCAAATATCAGTGACCTTACTAATCAGTAATGTACATGCATATACAAACATGAACTATCAAATATCAATGACCTTACTTAACAGTAATGTATATACAAACATAAACTATCAAATATGAATGACCTTACTAATCAGTAATGTACATGCATATACAAACATGAGCTATCAAATATCAATGACCTTACTTATCAGTAATATACATGAATATACAAACATAAACTATCAAATATCAATGACCTTTCTTAACAGCAATGTATATACAAACATAAACTATCAAATATGAATGACCTTACTAATCAGTAATGTACATGCATATACAAACATGAACTATCAAATATCAATGACATTACTGGTCAGCAATGTACATGTATATACAAACATGAACTGTCAAATATCAGTGACCTTACTAATCAGTAATGTACATGTATAAACAAACATGAGCTATCAAATATCAATGACCTTACTTATCAGTAATGTACATGTATATACAAATATGAGCTATCAAATATCAATGACCTTACTTATCAGTAATTTACATGTATATACAAACATGAGCCATCAAAGATCAATGACCTTACTAATCAGTAACGTATAAACAAACATGAACTATCAAATATCAATGACATTACTGGTCAGCAATGTACATGTATATACAAACATGAACTATCAAATATCAATGACATTACTGATAAGTAATGTACATGTATATACAAACATGAACTGTCAAATATCAATGACATTACTGATCAGTAATGTATATACAAACATGAACTGTCAAATATCAATGACATTACTGATCAGCAATGTACATGTATATACAAACATGAACTGTCAAATATCAATGAAATTACTGATCAGTAATGTATATACAAACATGAACTGTCAAATATCAATGAAATTACTGATCAGTAATGTATATACAAACATGAACTGTCAAATATCAATGAAATTACTGATCAGTAATGTATATACAAACATGAACTGTCAAATATCAATGAAATTACTGATCAGTAATGTACATGTATATACAAACATGAACTATCAAATATCAATGACCTTACTTATCAGTAATGTATATACAAACAAACAAATGAAAATAAGGTGAACCGCGCAGTACCTGCAACACTTGCTACCCTCGAACCGCGGGAATATTTGTCTCCTCTATACTTAATGAAAAGAAAAACACGCAAATACCATTTGTCGACTAGCCCGTCGTGTGTTAGGAAATGCAAAGAAAGGGAAAAATATGAGCCTTATATACCTAGATTTTGTGTAACTTTCAAGCGCTGTTCAATAGAATCTGCCACATACACGTCTTTGCTAGACTCGCTGCGCCATCGCCCGTGCCGTTTAAAGTGACAATTTAGTGAAGTAAGTTTTTTTATTACCTGAAAATCAAGTCGATACTGAAAATATATATCTCCTAACAAAAGTTTACGTAGTTGATAATGACTTGACCTGAAGCCAATGCCCAGTGTGGTCAGTTTCATCTTTGGGAAAGCCGCTGATAAAAAATAGCTACAACCGAAATAGCGCAATATCCGGGCCTTTCAGTGTGAAGTAAACAGTGTTAGTTATGAGTGTAACACTATCCTCGTGACCAATTAATTACGTGTTATATAATATCATTAATTAATGTATTTTAATTAATGATGAAGTGCATTTAGGCTTAGTATATAAACGTAGTATATTTATTAGGTTGGCACATTTAAGTGATAAGGGAACAGTGGCGGATCCATGTGTTGGGGTGGGGTGGGGGTGGGGGGTCTTCAGGAACACACACACACACACACACACACCTGATATTTTCTTTTACAATGGTGTATTTTCACCATTTTCTTCATTTTTTTCTCCACATGGAACACACACACACACACACCCTGGACATTTTGACCCCCCACCCCGCCTAATAGGTCTCTGGATCCGCCACTGGGGAAGGTTCCCAATCCAAATGTTGGTCAGATTGACTTAATATTATTGACTCAGATAATAATTACCTAACATGGCCAGTTGTACAGAGGAAATACATAACGACTGATGTCATATCTAACTATTGCCTAACACTTACCAATGAATCCATCTGTTGTCACTACCGAATCGTAACATGGTCACGAGTAGGTGTCTGCCTCGTGTCATATCTTATCTCAGGTTTCGTATAAATGAAGCTGCTGTTATTGATGTGTTAGAACCCCAGTGACATTCAAAGCCACTGGACGAATACACAATTATCATCTCCATCTTCTCGTCTTGTACTGTGTTACATGAGTCCGAGTTCACACATAACACATTCTTACATAATACGTCGCGAGTAAGAATTATAAGTACAGGTTCATAATATATACCTCTAATCATATATTTCTGTTCACATTTGGATTTGAATAAATACGGACAGGTTCATTTAGAGCATGCACGCACTGAGATTGTGCCGCAGGGATAATTTCAAACCGCAGAAAGTACGAAATCAATATGTTTAAACG